GGGAAAGAGACGTTTCAGGAGCTGGGTTGGGAGGTGTTTGGAAGTTTCTCCTTATGGTAACTTTTCAGATGCCTGGAGAGAAATATTCACTGTTTGTTTCCTATCTGAGGAAACGGTACATGTAGATGTAGAAATTTGATAACATCGAGGGCTGGATCCTTTTTTTTTTAAAAAGTTGAATCACATTAAAGTTATGTTCTCCAGAAGAACTCCTTGTTGTGGTCATAGGGAGACTTTTACCTTCACACACAGTCAGCTGCTTCCTGTGATGCAGGATTATGTAATTCTTTCAGCAAAGTCATTTTCTGTGCCTGGGAGAAGCCAGATTGCCAAGTGACCACTGTTGTTGGTTGGTTGTTAGTTGATTCTTTCTTGACCTCTCTTCTCTCCTCTTCCTTTCTTCATCTCTTTTTTCCTCTCTCCTCCTCCTGTCTTTCGCTCTAGCCCCATACCTTCCCCCTCCTTCCTTACACCCTCCCTCCCTGCCTTCCTTTAATAAAATTAATGTGTGCTTGTGGTTAAAAAAAAAATTTTGTTTTTGGAACGAGATAGGAGAACATAAGTGAAGAGTAAAAGTATATCCCAGTCACAGTTGCATGGGTTTTCTTTTGGAATTTTCTGAATATATACAAACGTACACACATTCTTAACATTTTTTACACTAATTACCATACTATGCATACTGACTGGAAACTTGTTTTGTTTTTTTCCCTTAAAGGTCTTAGATATTTCTTCATCAGCATACGTAGATTTAACATATTCTTTTTATCTGCTGTATTCTGTTTCCTCTCACAATGGCCTATAATTTAATCATTTTCCTTTTGATGTGACCCCTTAGGTTGTTACCAGCTGTTGTAACAGTGCTTCAACCAGCAGCCTGTTATGGTACATGAATTTCTGTGTCCTTATGTGAGAGTCAGTTGGTTCTTAGATCCAAGTTATAGAAAGAGATCCGTGAAGGGGTCCGCTTCTTGGGGTTTTATGCTGAGGGTTCCCTGTAGCTTTAGGACAAACAGTGTGTGAGGGGATAGGCGGGCCATGGGAAGCGGGTAGCCAAGGGGCTGGGTAGTGGTCCTGGTGTATGTGCTGCGCCCCGGCCAGTGCAGTCTCAGGACTCGAGTCTGCCTGACCGCGTGCAGCATTCCTGACACGAGGCCAGGAAGGGGACCTCGGGAACCACACAGATAGCACCTCCTTCACCTTCCTCTAAGGCTCTAGACCAGTGGCACGTGGCACATTTTCTCCTCTTTCCTGGGCACACTCATCCTTGTCACCTGATGGGAAGGGTCTGTGATGACTTGGGAATAAGCACTGTTCAAACACCTGTCTCTCTGGCAGTCTTGCTTGCTATCATTACGATCTTGGTCTTCCTTCCTTCCCCACCTGCAGGCACACTGTGGACTTCTTCCTAATCGTCACACAGCTGGGATTCTGCTGTGTCTATTTTGTCTTTCTGGCTGACAACTTCAAACAGGTAGGCCCTGGTAAAAAGAGAGACTGGCAAGAGATGAGTGGACTTTCTGTTTAGGATCTCTTCCAAGCCAGTTTTGTTCAACACAAGAATTGAGATCTTAACACTTTATGTAGAACAGTGTCAGTGTCGTTTGATTTTATCTAAAGACCCAGGGCGTGGGACTTCCCCCGTGGTCCAGTAGTTCAGACTCAGCAGTTCCACTGCAGGGGGCACACGTTCGATCCCTGCTCAGGGAACTAAGATCCTGCATGCTGGGCGGCGTGGCAAAAAATAAATAAATAATAAATAAATAAATGAAAATTAAAAGAAAAAAAAAATAGAGAGACCCAGGGCGTCGAGAAACCTCAGGATGTCTTGCTGTCCTCCTGTCTTTAGGTAAGATGTGATCAAACCCAGCTCAGACATTCAGGTGGCTAACAATTACGAAGATCTCCAAAGACAGTTCACCGACCACTAACTTTCTATGTGGGCTTGTTCACACGCTGAGCCTTTAGCCAAGAACCCCTTCCGGTGGGAGGGCCACTGGCCTTTGTCATTTGAGAGGCTTTCTCTGCAGCTTTTCTTCCCCTCGTTCTAGGTGATAGAAGCAGCCAATGGGACCACCACCAACTGCCACAACAACGAGACGGTGATCCTGACGCCCACCATGGACTCGAGACTCTACATGCTTGCCTTCCTGCCCTTCCTGGTGCTTCTGGTGTTCGTCAGAAACCTCCGAGCCCTCTCCATCTTCTCCCTGTTGGCCAACATCACCATGGTGGTCAGCCTGGTTATGATCTACCAGTTCATTGTTCAGGTATGACCCCAGGCTCCCTGCTCCATCTATTAAATAATCAGAGAAACAAAGAAAGTGAGTAAGTGGAACATAAATAGGGGTTTGTTACTTATGAGCAGTGTACTTAGGTTAGGACTTCTCAGCGTGGGCACTGTTGACGTTTGGGCCGGATAACCCTTTGTTGTGGGGCTGTTCTGTGCGTCGTGGGATGTTTAGCAGCATCCTGGTCTCTACCCACTAGGTGCCAGTAGCAACCGCTCCCCAAGTTACGACAACCAAAAGTGTCTCCAGATGTTGCCAAATGTCCCCGGGGGGGCAAAATCACCCGCACTGAGATCACTGGTTTAGACTTTTTCCCAGTTAGATAATTAAGACATGATCGTTGTATAAGATTGAAAAAGAGAGAAAGCTATTAAGATGATTCTTATGTTAACTTATAACATTTATATTCTTATATTAAAAAATATAAGAATCGTCTTATTATATAATATATTGTAATAAGGAATATTAGATTATTATTTTACCACCCCAGTTTTATATTTATTCAAATAGTAAGTAATTCCTTACCACTCCAGTTTTATATTTATTTGTCAGAACTGTAAATCTGGTGATTATTCCACCTCACATAGCCCATGTGGGCAGGTCTGTGGGGAGGTGCAGGAGAGAACATCTGGATATAGATGGTTAGAAGATCAGGCTGAGGAAAGTGTGCCCCTAAACACTGGTTGATTATAGACATTTGCCAAGACTTGAGAAAAGGAGACAGTGAAAGCATGTGAATAAAAGAGTAACTTTAAAAAAAGGTATGTAAATGTAATTCCCCAAATAACTCATCAATACATACTTACGAAAATACAGACAACACAAGTACCTTTTGAACACTCTGTCTCCACCCTCAGTCTCCTCCACTCTGGGGCCCTCTGTGTGTGTTTCTAGGTCCTGCGAATGCATTTACGCACTGTATTCCTATGTAGAGAAATACATGAAGCAAAAATTGGTTTTGTGGGGTTTTTTTAACATAATTTAAAAAATTATGACATGTAGTGTTCATCTGCCTTGCTTTTTTTCTTTGACAATATCTCAGAAAGCCTACCATGCTGATATGCCTGGTTTTATCTCATTCTTTTTAATTGCTAAATAGTATCTCAGAGAATAGACGTGCTGTAGTTTTGTAGCCTGTCAAGTCATGTATCATCTGTAGTGTCATTTAGTATTATGACAGTGGATATTCGTATGCCTTCCTTTTTGTGGACATGTATAGATACTTCTCCAAGATAAGCATCTAGAGGTGCTTAGAGACGCAGTTGCTAGACAGTGTGCACTGTAGAATTTTTTATATTGCCAACTTGCTTTTTCCAAAAGCTATTTACCAATTTCACATTGACTCCCTTCCACAGTTTGTAAGCAACCCCTTCTAGCCACATTGTATCAATCTTTTAAATTTGGCTCAGTCTGACAGGTGAACATTACCTCATTTTCACAGTCTGCTTAACAGTGACCCGGTTACCCCCTGATGACGTTTCTGGGAAAACAGTGGGTCATAAAATACAAGGACTTCCTGGACTGAGGAAATGACATAATGAATTTAGACTAACAGTGTAGTCAGTGAACATTTACTGGTATTTCCTTCTCCCAGTAAGTCAGGTGGATGGCAGATATTGACTCTTCTCCTGCAGAACTATTTTCTTTTTTTTTTTTGAATACAAATTTTTATTCTGGGTGCTTTTTACCATTTCAAACATCATAAATAGCAATAGACAAACAACAAAAAAAACGTATTGCAAAAACAATACAAAAAGATTTAAAATGTATAATTTACATATAATAATCATGTAAGTATATGTCTTCATTATATATATTTTATTCATAATTTTGTTTATAGCTTTATTTTAGTTATCTTTTATGGTTCTAGTAATGTAAGTGATATCCTTTATAAAAAGCCTTGCAATATTCTTACTAGCAGTCAAGGTGCAAGAATACCAAATCAAACTAGCCAAGGATCTAAGCAGAACTATTTTCTAACGCATAAAATAGACAGCTGTCCATGTCCCATTTTTTTATGGGACTGGAAAGAGGACCTGTGAACACATGAATGACAATTTCCAGAGAGTTTCTTCCCCTATCTGGCCAATGAAGTTAAAACAAGCAAGGGTAAACAAATGTATGATTTAACTTTGTAATTAGAGATCTCAGTCAGTGCCTAGGACACACTGCGGTGAACGTTAAAGACAAAAACGGGTGATGCCAGCTCACGTAGACACCGCATTTAATTTCAAACCACTGCAGGTTGTTGGACTGTGTTCGTTGCTGTGATCAGAGGGCTGGGATGGGAATATGGGTTCCATAGCATCTCAGTCCCCCCTGAAAGTAGTGTCCATCCAGGGCATTGTCTGTGCCTCGTACAACCTGCGCTTTTGGATGAGGCAGCCCTGCTGACTTCCCGAGAGCAATTCTGAGCCTGTCTCTGGGCTCAGCCAGGAGGTAGGCTGTGATCTGATAGTGCTATCTGCCCGGGTCCGGCTGTGTGTCCAGGAGCTTCATTTCGATGTGGTACACAGCTAAAGATGTCCCTCTGGGTTGTTTTTGTTGTTGCTGTTAGCTCTGTCCCATCTTGGCATTTTACCCCCTTTACCTTGATATTTCCTCCTGCTGTCCAAAGTTCCTGAATTTTCACCTAAACGCGAGCCTGTACATGACCGATGCTCTTGTGCCTCAGGCTCGTGCCATTGTAGGAAGTTGCCTGATGCCTTCCACCCGAGCAGCTGTCTTCATCATGTGCATGACAAATGGCACAGTTCTGAGCAGAGTGCCTTGCCCAGAAGGGCTCCCAATAAATCCAATAAATGTGTTATCACAGCATATCCTTAATTCTTTTTTCTTTGGCCGCATCGCACAGCTTGTGGGATCTTAGGTCCCCTGACCAGGGACTGAACCCGGGCCATGGCAGTGAGAGCTTGGAGTCCTAACCACTGGGCTGCCAGGGATAGCCTTGATTCCGAGATGTATTTTTTCACAGTTAATAACGTTTCCAAAATTGGAGTACATCTGACAATCCTTATGTACATTTAACAGCATTTTTTCAAAAAGCTGTTACAATTATATGATAATGTGGTACAAATGAGGAGATAATATATTGCAAGTGGGCCGATTTTAATTTGTACATTTCTTTGTAAATGAAAGTTTTTTCCCAAGTTTAATTCGTTGGGGTGTAAGGCAGTAGCAGTCACTATGTATGTAGAATTATAAATTCCTTCTGCTGGTCTCATTCACACCGGTATCCCCAGATATGTATTTTGAAATTCCCCCTCTGATATCTCAGCCCGATCTGATATATGACTCTGGGCAGTAGTCATCCATTAACCAACAGATCCACTAACCTCCTGTTTTCAGGAACTTTAGTTACACTGTGACTCAGGGATAATTACGGGGTGATCTCACCCTCGTATTTCATCAAAGAACAAAAATATTTATGAGTCTTGTCTTCATTCTAGGAACTGAAGTGCTTCTTTTTTCTTTTTTCTTTTTTGGCTGCGTTGGGTCTTCATTGCTGCGTGCAGGCTTTCTCTAGTTGTGGCAAGCAGGGGCTACTCTTCTTTGCGGTGTGCAGGCTTCTCATTGCGGTGGCTTCTCTTGTTGCGGAGCACAGGCTCTAGGCGCACGAGCTTCAGTAGTTGCAGCACGCAGGCTAAGTTGTTGCGGCATGCAGGCCCTAGAGCATGCAGGCTTCAGTAGTTGCGGCACATGGGCTCTAGGGCAGGCAGGCTTCAGTAGTTGTGGAGCGCAGGCTCTAGAGCACAGGCTCAGTAGGTGTGGCACACGGGCTTAGTTGCTCTGCGGCATGTGGGATCTTCCTGGACCACGGATTGAATCTGTGTCCCCTGGCAGGTGGATTATTAACCACTGCATCACCAGGGAAGTCCCTGAAGTGCTTCTTATGAGAGATCTAACTGATTTCTTAGCAGGGGCTCAGAAAAAAAAAAAAAAAGAAAGCATTTAAAAAATCCTTTTTATCTTAGGAAGACTATAATATAATTGCTTTGAAATCTTTCAAAGAGAAGCCTGTTACAGAGAGGAATAGTAGATCTCTTTTTTGCTCTCTGATATTATTCCATCACACTGTTAGAACATTCCCCATATCTCTCCAGAGACCTCTTTAGGGAAATCAGTTTTAAAAGATTGTAAAAGGCAGTTTTAAAGTCATTTTCAAATCTAAAGGCCAAATTCTGAAAGGATGGTAGCTTCTGTCTCCCCTGAGTCCTGCTCCTTCAATACTGTCCATAACTGGGGACTCTTGCCCATTAGTCAGCCAGGTGGGTACATGCTTACATTGTACCTGCAGTTATCAAGTGCCTTGGTTTTTATTTGCCTTCTTTTTAAAATGCTGTTTTTGCTATTTTTTTCCCCATATGTGCCGATACTCCTGTCATGTGCCTATCAAAAATATTTTCCAAGTGTTGATTTACAGAATTTTTGAAAAAAGAGAGAAAGGGAAGTAGAGAAAAAAAGAGAAAGTGCTCATCTAAAAATCTACCACCTTTCCCTCCAGCTTTATCTGTGTGGAGTGTTTATGTAGTTGTATCATGGTGAATATATAAATTTTAAAAATATTTTTCTCATTACTATTTTATAAGCAGTTTTCATGTACTACTTAGTTATCCCACTCTTTACTTTTTAAATAGTGCATCATATTCTGTGGTCTATTGGGTGTGCATTAAACTACCTGTTCAGATGTTTGGGAGCATTTAGGTTGTTATCACTTACTGTTAAAAAGCCTTGCTCAACTTTTTTCATATTTTCATCATCTTTTTCCTACTTAGATTATATTTCTGGGGATGGGATTACCTAGTGAAAGAACATGATTCTTTTTATGCAGTCTCTAACATTTGAGGGTTTTTTAATAATAAATTAATTTTTTTAGTTTTGGCTGCATTGGGTCTTTGTTGCTGCGTGCGGGCTTTTCTCTAGTTGCGGCGAGCAAGGGCTACTCTTCGTTGTGCTGCGCGGGCTTCTCATTGCAGTGGCTTCTCTTGCTGCGGAGCAGGGGCTCTAGGTGCACGGGCTTCAGTAGTTGTGGCTTGCGGGCTCTAGAGCGCAGGCTCAGTAGTTGCGGGGCACGGGCTTAGTTGCTCGTGGCATGTGAGATCTTCCCAGACCAGGGACTGAACCCACGTCCGCTGCGTTGGCAGGCGGATTCTTAACCACTGCGCCACCAGGGAAGTCCCAACATTTGAGTTTTTAATGGTACTTTGGGCTAGTCTTTCCCCAAAGCAAGTAGGGTTTTCTCAGCGATGGGGAAAAAAAAGAAAGGCTATAAATGACCCCAAATCACCTGTCCCAAACTTAGGAAAGGTTTGACCTGTCTGATGATGGGGTTGAAATCATGAATCTCTATATAGCCTTTGCTCTGTTTTTTTTTTCTCTCTTTCAGGATATCCCAGACCCCAGATTCCTCCCCTTGGTGGCATCCTGGCAGACCTACCCTCTGTTCTTTGGCACGGCCATTTTTGCATTCGAAGGCATCGGAATGGTAAGAGTTGCGCTGTGATTCTCTGGTGCCCTCAGTGTCCTTGAGGTCTGCTTTAAGGAATGCTGAGGAAATGCTATTAGAAATCATCTTCTGAGTCTTATTTGGCCAGCTAATGAACAGCGTTTCAAAGACTCCACTGAAGTTTCCCAGCTCCAGGTTTTGGAAGTAAGTTGTATGTAATTTGAGAATGTTTCCCTTCAAGCCCTCTCTGTTGCACACTCATCTCCTGTGAGTGCAGTAAGCAGCAGTGCAGGGCAATTCTGAACACAGGGTCTAGATTCAGACTGACTTGGGGTGAGTCCCGGCTCTGCCAGAGAGTAGCTGTGTGACCTTGTGCAAGGACTCGCCTGCTCAGAGCCTTCATTGTTTGCTTCTGAAAAGTGGGCTTAATGTTTAGTAGTTGTTAGGATTAAACGAGATACGTGTAAAGTGCTTTGTATGGTCTCTGACATATGGTGAGCATTAAGTACTTTTTATTTTCATTAATAATACTATTGATTTTATTGTTAAATCAATAAACATATGAACGAATTTTCTGCCCTGGAACACTGTTGAGCTGTATTTTCCTTGTATAAATGAGTAGCCTTTACTCCTAGCTCAGCTTCCCCGTGTTGGTGCCGTGATTCCACCAAATTCTTCTCCTAAAGGGAGGGATCTGTCACTCAGGTGTACCTATTTTGGTTTTTGTGTTTTTCATAATAAAGGTCCAGTATTCTCTGAAGAAAGTTATTAGCTCTGCTGGCCTAGGGCTTAGGAAATGGGAAGACCCTTCTTTCATGGAATATCTTTTTGTCCCCATTTGATTGTCCTGTCACCTTATACACTTTTAAGAAAACCTAGAAGCTGGACATTTTTTGTCACAATTTGAGGAATTGCCCAGGTGGTGTCCTTGGAACGTGAGGGTCTAACAACATGGAGGAGGCTTTTCGAGTGATTGTGTGTACGTGGTTGTCCTGAGGTTTTGAACCTTTCCCTGTGCTTACTCTTGGGGCTTCTCATTGCCCAAGAAGAATGTCTCATCTTTTTTTTTTTTTAAATAAATTTATTTATTTATTTAATCTTTGCATTGGGTCTTCGTTGCTGCGCGCGGGCTTTCTCTAGTTGCGGCAAGCGGGGGCTACTCTTCGTTGCTGTGCGCTGGCTTCTCACTGCGGTGACTTCTCTTGTTGTGGAACATGGGCTCTAGGCATGTGGGCTTCAGTAGTCGTGGCTCGCGGGCGCTAGAGCGCGGGCTCAGTAGTGTGGCTCGCGGGCTTAGTTGTTCCGTGGCATTTGGGTTCTTCCCAGACCAGGGCTCGAACCCATGTCCCCTTCATTGGCAGGCAGATTCTTAACCCCTGCACCACCAGGGAAGCCCCAGAATGTCTCATCGTGATTCACAGACATATATGGTTTCCCAGCTGCTGGGGCAGAGGCCTGAAGGGGCCTGTATTATAGCAGGAGAAAGAGGTCCCGAGCACTCGGGACTGGAAAGAAGAGGCCGAGTGAGTGCGGAAAGATGCCCAGGTTTCTTTAGCAACGTTGTACTGCATTTGTCAGTTTCCCCTAACAGCACAGGGCAGAAATTGTTCTTTGCTTCATTTCATTAGCTGAGGCTTGGATACAGAGTGATTCTGTAATCGTCATTATCTGTTACTTCAAGATTTGTCCATGTTTTCTCTTTTTACAATAGAGACACTGCTGTTTTGACTGTTAGTTTGGATCTGAGGGCTGTTGGGCATGCCTGGTAAGAGCAGTGGACTCACTGGGGTTTCCCGTGCTCTCTGTTTCTGCACCATTGGTCTGGGCTGGCCGGGCTGGAGGAGATGGGCACCCTGCCCTCTGGCTCCTGAGACTCTCCATAGAAAGAAACCAAAGGAAAGCTTAGAAACTGTTTCTCATTGGATGTAGATCAACTGAAGCTTGAGCCCCTTGAACTGGTGGGGT